GGGTCAGGGAAATCTGTGATGAAATGTGATTTGAATGTTTTCTGAAATATGTTCTGAACTTTAATTCGAATTCTGATTTGAATAATTCTGTGACATAAATTTGATTCAGTTCTTCTGTCTCTGTTACTTCATTTGTTTTGTATGAATATAGGTATTCTGTTTGATTTCTGTTCTATATGAATCTCTGACCTTAGTCTGATATTCTGATTTTTGTACGATTATCTGAATTATGTACGACAAATATTTTTAAAGCCTTCATGCGTATTTTGATGTGAGTTTCTAGAAATTTTGATTGGCTAGTATAGTCTTGCTGAGCTGTTAGCTCATCCTTATTATTTGCGTGGTTTTCAGATTCTGGGAAAGGGAAAGAGGTGTTGGACTAGCCGTTCTGTATCTGATCTGAGATTAGGTATTTTTTGTACCTTTGATTTTTATACAGTCATGGCTTTTCTATTTTGTTCTGTACTTTCTGCTTAGAGCCATGCACTATAATGTATATGATTATTTTGAGGAAAGAAAGAAGAAAATCATGGATGAACTTTTCTATATATTTGGATGTTTATAGTAGCTCTTTGTTTTCTGTATATCTGATTATTGGAAGAAAGTCTTAAACCAAATTCCAAAGCTAGATCCTTGATTCATCCGTCGTGACTCGACGCGATGGGATTCGTTCCGGTTGGGTTGGGTCGTGACAGTTTTCTTATTGCTTTGTAAAGTTATTTTTTAGTACAAAATTCTCTAGAAAGCAGAGAAAAAATAGTGGTCTAAAACTGTCTCAAACGAAGGCTTAACTTGGTCAAATTTGAGCTCATATGACTTGAACCGAGCAAACCCCAGCTACTTGAATCAATATTACTCAAATCAAGTTATGTCGGCAAAACAACAAAAACCTTCTTCCTACATGCAACTAAAAAATTGCACATAAGAAGGCCTTTATGGAGACGATCTAAGTCTCACCAATGCAATAGTTAGTGATGGCCTGCCCAAGGTCACCCAGCCAACCCTTTAGGTTTCTCTTGTCACAAGTAGCATGTCGATGGCTTTTAATCATATTAGTTTGTGGTTTTAATTACTATGCAATCTATTTCAAAAGATTTTGAGTTCTCAACCCTATTGTGCCTCTAATACTCCATTATTTTTCAAGCCATTTCTATCAATATGCTCTACTCAAAGTAAAATTTATAACCTAATCCATATAAAAAAAAACACAAAACAAAAAGGAATATCATCAATGATTTCTCACCAAACCATTCAATACGGGGGGCCATTAAGCTATGGATAAAGGTATAATTGATAAATTTTGTATTTATTTCTATTTCAATAGATTCATTAAGTTTTTTACATATTATTTCATTTATTATATAATATATTTCAATTTTAAATGGATTATCTTTATCTTAGGCTTTGTGATTAGATTATTGCATAATTTATTTTTTTTTTAAATATTTATGAGAATCTCATGCAAGTTGCTTAGCTTTATTTCTCATTTGTCAATTAGCAACATGTTTTGAATCTCTCTAATTTACTTTTTATCTCTGTTTAAAATTACGCAATGAGAGGCGCGCCGTTGCGCAATTCCTCCCAAAAACGCCTCATAGCCTACGCAATTTTGGTCTTGCAAGAGGCGTACGCCTCACAGGGGCTGAGGCGCGCCTCAGAGGCGCAATTGCGCAATTCCTTGTGAGGCGTACACAATTCTGGGTAGGGTCCACTCACTTAAAATGAGGTCTTTTTTGATTTGAATGCAGCAAAAGCAACCATTTCTAAACGGTCTCCAGGTATAATTAATTTGGTAAATGCAATACACTTTATTCAGTTCTGAATTTTGATTATATTTTTTCTTGAAAACAGTTGAATGGTGGATCCAATTTGGTGATTCCACCCCTGAGCTACAGAGTTTTGCTGTGAGAGTGTTGGACCTCACTTGTTCTTCTTCTGGGTGTGAGCGAAATTGGAGTACATATAGTCAAGTGCAAACAAAGAGAAGAAATCGACTATCTACACTCAGAATGAACTCCCTCGTATACATAATGCACAACAAGAGGTTAAGAGATAGGAGGTTGAGGAATAAGGGGTTGAAAGATGATGAGGACCCGTTGGTGTGTGATAATGTGTCGTCTGATAATGAGTGGTTCATAGATGATGAGGCAGATTTGCCATTATCAGACTTACAGGTAGAAGATCTAAATGTGGATGTATTGAGGGGCGAAGCAGATCAAACGGGTACATCCACTAGTACCACACCACACACATCTACTAGCTCTGCAAGTAAAGGTATATGTTCTCTGCCAGTCTGCCTGATAATGAGTGGTTCATCTAATTAATATGCTAATGATCTTTTCTTTTATTGAACAGGGAAGAGAAAAGTGAGTCATATTGATGATGATGATGACATGACATTCATAGATACAATTGGCGAAGAAGATTCACTTGAAGACCCATTTAGTGATGGGATATGATTTCATTTTATATGTTTTTTGTATTTTGGGAGTTTTGTTAAACTAATATTTTGTAATTTTGTACTTTGGGACTTAATTTTATTGCATCTACTTTCTTATTTTCCACTATTGCTATTATTTTCCTGCTAAAACTCTTAATTTTTCATTTACGCAATTCTGTGTTCGTGAGGCTTACGCCTCAGACCGCCTCGAGGCTTACGCCTCGCCTCACGGACGAAAACCGCCTCGAGGCGCAGTTACGCAATTTTAAACCTTGCTTTTTATAATCAGTAGTATTGGAGAATAAGATTTTATTTCTTCTAGTATATTACTTTTAATTATCTAATCATTTTACTTGATATTTTTTTTTATTTAGAATTCGTTTGGAATAGCTTTTTTACTACTTTCTAAAGCAGTTTTTTAATTCAATTTTTTTAAAACAAAAACAAATTGTATTAAAAACCTACTTAAAAATCAACAAAAAAGTTGTCCCAAATGAAACCTTAGAATCTTTAATGATTACACTACTTTAGCATTAATGGTGAACACTTTTGATCATATAAAAAGAAGAGAATTATTATGTTGGTATATATCACCTTGTTATGTCTGCCGAACTATAAAGTTAAAATTTATAAGTATACATTTGCAAAGGTGAGTAATTTAATTTTTTTGATATTTGAATAGTTCACACGCAATTTTTTAAAGGATTCATGTCATAATTATTCGACAAGTTTTACACTGGCTGTCGACTACCTAACGCAACCCTCAACTTTTCTCATCCAGGACTTGGGACCTTGCAACAGCAGTGTTAATATTATAAGTGCTTATGCTGCTCAAGTAAATTTGGATATGAGTTCAAAATTAAAATTTTGAAATGACTTAGAAGAATTAATACAAAATATAACTCTTAAATAAAATGTTTTTATTGGAGGAGATTTAAATGAACATGTTGGTAGAGAAGTAGATGATTTTAAAAGCATTTATGGTGGCCATGGGTTTGAAACGATAAATGAATGTGGTAAAACTATATTAAATTTTTCTTTAGCTTATAATTTCTTAATAGCTAATACCTTATTTAAGAAAAGAGATGAGCATCTTATCACTTATAAAAATGGATATAGTAAAACGCAGATTGATTATTTTTTATAAGAAAATTAGATCGTTTAGATTGCAAAGATTGTAAAGTTATTTTGAGTGAAAATTTATGTACCAAACATCGATTATTAGTTTTGGACTTTAAGATAAAGGGGCAAAAAACTAAAAAATAAAATAAAATAATTTTCTAAAATTAGATGGGGGCATTTAAAGAATATTAATAAAAGTATTTTTGAGAATAAGATTTTAGATCTTAAGATTCTATCTGTGCATGAGGATGCCAATATTATATGAAAAAAGTAGCTTGTGATATTAAGAATATTGCAAAAGATGTGCTTGGAATTTCAAAGGGAAAAGCTCCTAATAGTAAAAATAGTTGGTGATAGAATCCAAATGTGCAAGAAAAGATAAAAAATAAGAAGATTTGTTATAAAATTTGATTTAGATGTAAAAGATAATTAGGAAAGCTATAAAGATGTCAGATCCATACAACGAAAATAGCTTACAAAACTTTTTAATACTATTTTGAAGGCTAAAAAGATGTCAGATCCATACAACGAAAATAGCTCGATCTGAAGGAGGAATGATCCAAAACAACACTGATAGCTATGGACCTTGGATGATTGTCAACAGAGGAAGAAAATTTGTTCAAAATCCTATCAGAGGAGGCAATGGTACATAGGTAAAGAAACCTTTATGGAGGAAATTAAACTCTTTTAATAAGGAGGACGAGGAAACCTGCATAGAAGAGGCCACAAATTTGTCTGATGAGATTCAATTGAATGACAAACAAATTCCCACAGAAATGAATGAAACTGATAAATATGTGAATTGTGAAGTGCAGAAAGATATTGAGAAGATTGGCTCTCATTTTCCTATTAGTGGAAAGAAATTTATGGTATTGCATGACTTAGAGGAAGAAGGTGAGATCATTGAGGAAACTGATAAAGGATTAAGGCAAACGGAAACGTGATCCCTGGGAAGGGAATTATGAAACAATCAGATGAAGATAAATTCAACAGCAAGGTGATAGAAAATGATTCCGGCCACTTGAAGAAAAAGAAATCAAAACAATTGAAAGACCTTGGTCCAATTAGCAGTACCACAAGGAGTAGAAAGTTGGAATTGGATAAGGAAGGTAAGGAGGGAGCTGATCCCACATGTCCCCTTTAATGAATTTCTTAGTGTTTTGGAATTGTAGAGGAGCACAAAAGAGTAGTGCTGCTCTATACTTGAAAGATATTGTAAAATTGCATAATGTAGTTTTTGTGGGTTTGATTGAAACTAAAATTTCTAGTTTTGATAAAACTAATGTTAAAAAGCTTTTGGGAGAACATTGGGAGTTTATATGGTTCCTTCCATTGGTTTATCTGGAGGGATTATTGTTCTTTGGAATTCCAAAATTGTTGATTTTTCCTTGGTGGGATCTACTTCACAATGCATTATTGGTGATTTATCTATTGATAGTAATTGCAAATGGAGAGTGGCCTCGGTCTATATGGAAGCAGAGACACAAGCAAAAGAAGGGAACTTTGGGAGATTCTTGAATGTTACTCTATGGAGGACCTATGGTGGTTGGAGGAGACTTTAATTGTATCACTTCTAAAGAAGACAAAAGAGGAGGTAAAAAATTCAATCTTTCACAAGGTGCTAAAGACATGGGAGCATTCATTGCTAATAATGATCTACATGAGATCGATTTCATCGGACCAAGGTATAAATGGTGTAACAATAAAGCCGTAGGTGCTCGGATCCTTGAGAGATTGGACAGGTGTTTTCTTAACTCAATTGCTTTGCGATTCTTTCCTCAACTAACCGTGAGACACCCAGCTAGAATTTCCTCAGATCATAGTCCTGTGGTTCTTAAATTTTGTAATTCTAGAAGTTTTCATAAGAGGAGTATTATTTTTGAAGATGTATGGGCTTCATATCCGACATCATTTGCTGTGGTTAAGAGGGAATGGAATAAAAATTTCAGTGGTAATTCTGCTCAAATTCTGAATGCTAAGTGCAAGAGAACTCTCAAATCTTTGTTCTTTTGGAGCAAAGCTAAACTAAAGAACCTCAATGATCTAAAAGGCATTTTAATGGATGAAATTCTGAAATTACAAACAGAGGAAGCTGAAATTGGATGGCTATTTGAAGAAGACTGCTGGCGTATGAAATCCGAAATCATTGAACTCAATACAACTATGGCTAGGCTGTGCAGTTGGTGGAAACAAAGAGCGAAAGTCAAATGGATGAATGAGGGAGATTGTAATTCCAACTTTTATCACTGTTATGCTAATGCTAGAAGGATTGGTAACAGGATTCAGAAATTAAAAAACGATAATGGGATGGTGATGGAGGAACAGAACAATATTGAAGAAATTTTTATAAATTTCTTTAACTCCAAATGGAAAAAGAGAAGCTGCAAACTGGATGACTGGCCAAATCCTTTGAACAAAACTCAAGCCGGAAGAAGCACATGCTCTGAATGAAGACTTCACTATGGAAGAGATTGAATATGTTGTAAAAAATCTGGGAAACAATATAGCTCCAGGGAACGATGGGGTAACCTTCTCCTTTATCAAATTTTACTGGAAGATAATTAAAGAAGACTTTGTGATGGCTTTAAATCAATTTTTCAATCAAGGAAGCATGGATGGTAATTGGAAAGATACACTTGTGGTCCTCATTCCAAAGGTTTCTAATCCTCTATTACCTTCTAATTATAGGCGTATAAGCCTTTGTATTTCAATTTATAAAGTTGTTGTTAAAGTTATCCTGAATAGGCTTATCCCAGTTATGCCTTTGCTTATTTCGGATGAGCAAGCTGCTTTCATTAGAGGTAGATCAACTTCTGATTACATTCTTATAGCACAAGAAATGTTTCATAAATTCAGATATTCAAAAGCGAGTAAAGGACTGGTAGCTCTCAAAGTGGATATGGAGCAAGCTTATGACTCCATGAGTTGGAAAACTCTTGAACAAGTTCTAAAGTACTTTGATTTCCCTATTATGTTTTCAAAACTAATTTTGGAGTGTGTGTTAAATCCCAGATTTTCTATCATCATTAATGGAAAGTTAACAGGATGGATTAAGGCTGAAAGCAGATTTCGACAGGGATGTCCTTTATCCCCCATGTTATTCATACTTTGTTCCCAACTACTATCGAATGCTTTCTCTCAATCTTCGGTTAGGATTGGAATCAGCTCAAATAGCACTCGGGTTTCACATTTATTATTTGCTGATGATGTTATGGTTTTCTATGAAGCTTCAAGGAAATCTATACTTGAAATTAAAAGCATTCTAATTGATTTCAGCACATGGACAGAGCAGAAAGTTAACAAAGAGAAATCAACTATAATCTTTGGTAAGAATGTTGGTAGAAGAAAGCAGAAAAATCTTTCCAAGATTATGGGTTTCAATTCAGTAAAAGAGTTGGTGTACCTTTGTGGGCTCCGAAAATTCGGCCCCGGCCTCCCCGCGCGCTTTTCTTATTCGGCGAGGGAGTTTTAACGAACTAAGTTCCGAGGTAAATTTTGGAAGGCAGATGGGTTTGTAGATAAGACACTACCAAAATTGTGCTTATTAAATCAGTGATCCAAACAATTCCGAACTATTTCAGTTCTCACTCCTTGATTCCGGTTCATGTCCTCAAAGAGGTTGACAAAATCTGTAGAAATTTTTTTTGGAAGAAATCTGGAGGAAATCAAGGATTGCATTTCATTAGTTGGGAAAATTTATGTAAGCCTATGAAGAAAGGTGGTTGTGGATTGTATTCCTCTACAACAAGGGTTGCTCCTCTTAGAGCTAGATTATCTTGGAGATTTTTGAATAATAAAGAATCTCTGTTACACAAAACTTTGGCTTCCAAATATGGAACAAATTTTGAATTGGCTAGCGGAAAAAAAATTCCTCCTCTTGGAAGATCCTTTGCAATGGAGGCAAGGTACTCGAACCATTTTTAAGATGGGAAGTTTCTAATGGGGAATCAATCAAGGTATTCAAAGATTGGTTTATATTTGATAGAAAAATAAATGAGTGGCCTACTTTTGTAAGCATTCAAGAAGATGATGAGATAAAACAGAGTTGTTTCATTAAAGAAGGGAGATGGAATGAGGAATATCTCAAGCAATTTTTCGGTGAAGAGCTCATAAATACAATTCTTAATATCAAAATTAACCTTGCTCAGGTTGAAGATGTTAGAGAACTCAAGTTCAAAGAACCAGGGTATTCTATTCCAGGTATGGTCAATGAATATCAGCACAAGAAGAAGATTGGGAACCTTTTACCTGGATTAAAAAAGCCAAAATCAATCCTATGGTGCAGAATTTTATTTGGAAGCTTTTTAAAGGAGCTTTACCAACATTCCAGTTTCTTGTACATAGAAGAATAATGGATAGCAATTTATGTCCGAGATGCTATGAAGGAGTTGAAGACTTGGGACACGTCTTCTGTGATTGCATTAAAATCAAAGAGGTTATTAATACTTTGAACATTTGGGGATTTCAATTGCCGGAATTTAATAGATTCCAGGATTATTGCAGCTGGATCCGCAATGTACATAAGAGGAATGGTATGATTCTCAACCTGTTTTTCAATATGGTGTATTTCTCTTGGAAGGCTAGGAACAAGTTAGTTCATGACTACATTACGGAAAGCATTACATCAATTGCTACTCAAGCAATTTGTCAATCCTCTTACTCCATTATGGTCTTTAATCAAATTCCGGAAACAAGGGATGTTAATCAGTCTTCTAGACTGTTGAATACTTGGCATCCTCCTCCACCCGGTTGGTTAAAGATCAATGTAGATGCTTCGCTTTGTTCTTCTAACAAAGTAGGAATTGGAGGTATCATCAGAGATTGCAAAGGAAGATTCTTGTTGGCCTTTGGGAAATCTTGCATTCATTGGGATATATACCAATTGGAAGTTATTGCAATTAAATACTTGAAGATTATAATGAAGGATTGGATGTTCAAATACAAGGGAGCTATCATTGAAAGTGACAATCTCAATGTCATTAAGATGATCCAAAAGGAGAAGGAATGCGGATTCAAACAATCAGATGAGTTAATTTTTTTCTTAAATTTAATTATGTTATCTTTAAGCATATTAATAGAGAAGGAAATAAGCTAGCTGATATGTGTGCTAGATATGGCCTTCTTAGTAATTTTATTTGGGAGGATATTTCCTTGGACATGATTCCTCCTTCATTTGTTCAACTTTTGAAGGAGGAATCTACTTTGTAGCTCTTTTTATTTTTTCCTAGTTATTAATGCATTATTGTTGTTCTAAAAAAAAAAATGATTAAGTCTCCTATATGAAGTTTTAGGGACATTAGGTTCCCTTCTTCTAGAAATAGAGCTAAAATCCTTCGTCATATTAATAATATTTCTATTTTAGTCTTATTGGAGCCTTTTATTTCTTTTGCCAAGTTGGATAATTCTTCTAGATTGTTGGGATTTAACTATGTTGTGGCTAACTCTTCTAAATAAATTTGGTTCAATTGGAAATTTCCTATTTCTATTGATGTTGTTGGTGATTTCTCTCAAGTCATACATTACAATATTAATTTTATGAAATTTAAATGTCATGCGTCCTTTGTTTATGCTTCTTCTACTCATTTTACTAAAATGATTCTTTGGGAGCAACTTATTAATTTCCATAGTCTTATTAATTTACCATAGTTGGTTGGGGTTGATTTCATTATATATTTAATTCCTCTAAAATACTTGGTGGTTCTTTCCCTATTCTTTAATCCATGGAAGATTTTAATAACATGAGCTCATATTGTAACCTTGTGGACATTGGATTTTTTGATAATTCTTTTCCCTGAATCATGGTAGTCTATGTAAATGTTTGGATCGTGTTCTTTTTAATGATGTATTGATTAACTCTTTTAAAACTAGTTATATGGAGCATCTCATTTGAGCCTTCTTTGATCATTCTCCTCTTCTGACTGGTATTTTGATGAGGCCTGATGATCCCATTCCTAACTTTAGATTTCAAAACATGTGGTTACTCGATAACTCTTTATTGAGCATTGTTCAAGATAAATGGTAGGCCCCTTCGCATCTTGATAATTCTACTTTTGTTATGAATATATTATGGTTCAAACTAAAAAGACTTAAGTATAAACTAAATTGGAGGAACAAGCATGTTTTTACAAATATTTTATCTAGTTTTTTGAATGTTGAGAATAAGGTGAATTCTATTGAGCATATCTATCAACTTCAGTCTTCTAATGCGAATATTACAATTTTCCAAGAGGCTAAAACTACTCTTTTTAATTTTCAAGCTCATGGGAAAATTTTAGGAAGTAATAAGCATCCTCTAAGCATCTTATTGAAGGGGATAACAACAAAAAAATATTTTCATGTGTTAGTTAAGAGGAATAGAACAAAAAATTTCATACATAAAAACTCTTTTCCTAATTGTTCCCATACTGAGGATGTTGGTGAGATTGCTAATTTTTTTATTAAGCATTTTAAAAAATCTTTTCAAAAAGTGCTTTGATGCCATTCCTATTAATAATCCCATGATCTTTCCTGATATTATTAATTATGATGATAATTTGATTCTTGCCAACCCTCGTTTAGAGGAAATTAAAGAAATTGTTAAGTCTATGAAGTATGACTCTATTGCTGGGCATGATGGTTTTTCTACTAAGTTTATTTTCCAAAAACTAGGGATATTGTTAGTTTTGACCATTATGGTGTTGTGTTAGATTTCTTTGGGGTAATAGTATGCCTAAGTATTTTTCCTCTACTTCCATTGTTCTTATCCATAATAAAAATTCCATTAATAACCGGGATGATATAAGGCCTAATAGTATCTACACCTTCTTTAGTAAGTGCAGTGACTCCCCACCACGCTACAAGAGCGTGTATAGGGCTCTCCCACCTCGTCGTATGCGTCGCACCGGGCTCCCTCCTACCGTGCTACAAGAGCGCGTATAGGTGGTTCTCCGGTCCGCTGCAAATTATACCTTGAAGACCCGACGGTGGAGGCAGTGTCGGCTCGAGGATCGAGGCAAGAGGGGCAAGCATGCTTCTCTCTTTTCTTAATTATGATCAATCATAATTAATAGAAAATTGATTATAATTAATTACAATTAATAATAATTAGTTTTAATCAAAGATAATTAATTATAATTAATCATAATTGATAATAACTAATTAATATTAAACATAATTAAATGCAATCAATTAAGCTAATATGATTAATCATAACTAAAAGAGATTAATTATGATTAATTAACAACTAATCATTATCAAAAATAATTAAATTGACATTAATTAAGATTAATAATCATTAGTTTAATATAATCATAACCAATCAAAATCTGAGTTAATTAATTTTGACTAATTTAAAGCTAATCATTATTAAAAGTAATTAGTTAAAATTAATTACGATTAATAATGATTAATTTAAATTAATGATAACTAATTAAAGTTTGAGTTGATTAATTAAGATTAATTTATAACTATTCATCATTAAAAAGTAACTAATTTAGAGTTAATTAAGATTAATAAAAATTGTTTATTATTAATGCTAATTAATCAAAACAGATAATGATTAATTAGGATTAATGATAACAATTTATTATTAAAAATAAATTAATCTAAATTTAGTTAGGAATAATAATAACTAGTTATCACTAATGCTAATTAATCAAAACTCATAATGATTACCTGACAGGTATAAGGCACTTTAAAATGAACTTGTACTTAGTTATAATTAGGATTCAAATATGATTAAAGCAGCACTTAAACTAAATCATTCCCAAAATGTGATTCAGAAACCATTGAATCTCACGGCCCAAATAATTTCTCTTATTCCTCTTTTGTTGCTTAGCGAATA